TATATTGCTTAACCCTGATATAGAACAGAGTAGCAGTAGATTTAGATTTCCCCTACAGCAAAAAACCCAACAATTTTAAACTTCCCCTGAAATCAAAGTGCATTTTTTTCTAAATTTCTAGCGACAGATGGGAGGCTGTGTTACCCTCCTGGCTCTGAGGGGGCCTCTGAGGGTGTCCAGGCTCTGCAATAATGATGCTCTGAGCAACCTCAGAGGGGAGTCTGGCTCTGCAATAAAGTCTGAATGCAACAGTGCTTTGGTCACCCTTCCTCCAGCTCCCCAAAATTGCTCCTATTTTAAGCTGTCAATTTACAGACTTAAAGCATGCTGGCTTTGAAATGGATACATGTACTCCCCAAGCAGATAATGTTTTCAGATAGGAGATCTCATCCAGTTTCTGAGCCCAATGCACCTGAGTGACAGCAGTGTGACAATGCATAACAGCAGATTTTGGATTGCCCCAATAACTTCTTCTGTAACTGGGTGCTTTAGCTACCCCAAATCAAGGAACAAGCACAGGGCTTTTTGCAGTCCCTGAAAATGGGTAGATTTTCTCTTTTTTTTGTGTTTGTGTGTGGCATGTTTGTAGTTTCTAAGGAACAAGTCAGTGGAATGCTGCTATTATGCTCATGGAAAAAAATTTATATTTTCCACATGCCTCTGTTCCTATGGATTAAGAGAATGTTTTACCATATTATTATTTTTTTTCTGTAAAATTCAAACAGTAAGTTGTTTGTTGTGCTGTTTGTTGTTTTTTTTTTTTTTAAATGGAACAGAATAATTTCCATATTTATATTCTGCATTTTGTATCTGAAGCTTTTGGTGTTATGTATGCGTGTTGTGTGTGTTTTACAATGACTGCCCCAACACACACACTCCACATATGTTTCCTCTCCTGATTTGAATAGAAATCTAACACTGCAAGTGAAGTACACTGAACTACTGTTTCACAAGCTGTCATTTAAGTGATAGATGGTAAATTGGAATTTTGCCATGCAAATTAGTTAATGCTCAGATGAAGCCAGTGTTTAACTATTCAAATAAGATCCCAGTCTTGATCAGCTGTTGCAGCTTATATCTCCAGTGAAGCAGACAACTAGCTTTCAGCTGGAGCAGACAACTAGAACTCCACAAAACCATCAGCTCTGCTCTCTTAGAGCCATCTCAGTAGATCAAAGGATGCTCAAACAGCACTGATCTGTAGCTATCAGCTGGAAACAGCCAAAGATGCTGTTTCTTCAGGCAAAAAATTGTGATAGTTGGTAGTATTTCGAAGGGGAAATTTACATCTGTGGAACCCGCTACATCCAGAAATGTAAAAATACAACAAACTCACAGTGTGACCTTTCTTTTAACAAGAACATATGTAAAATTCACACACAAAGAATGGTATATTTAGAATCTTAGTGGGAGCCAGGAATAGCTCCTATACCAAAGTTCCCTAAGCCTACATTTTAAATGCATGTAACCTTTCTTTCAGCAGTTTGCTACTGCTTTTGTGCACAGGAGACCTTTGAAATCTGGGAGGAAGAAAGCCCCTTGGCTATACAAAATGCCCTGTCTTTACCTGAGAAAAACCCACGCTGTTTCACATTTATAGCACTTCATTTCAACTTATTTTTCTTGGATTCCTTAGGGAAATTTCCACCTGTCAAGCAACTGAGAAGGAGACATCTTCAGAGCCAGTCCTGCTCCCTCACCTGGAAACCTGCAGCAACCTTGCTTATCCCTGAGAGGTACCAAGGTCTTAATAAGGATGGAGGGAAGGAAAACTTCTTTCCCACTGCAGACCTTCCTCATGGAGTCTCCTGGAATGAATTTCCATAGTCTTTTGGAGGTGAGGAATAGCTACAGCTGGATTTGGCTGCTCCTGGCTCCTCACAGTTATTCTCAGCAGTTCCAAAGTTTGCCTTTCTCACAGGTCAGAGTGGCAGCTGCTTTTCCAGCTAAGGCACTTGATCCTGCAGTGCAGGTAGCAGTGATCTGTGCTGGGAGTTCACAGCACGCTGCAGGTGATGGGAGTATAGCAAAAGTGTTGTGCTATTTCAAGAAAAGAGGGCACAGAAAAAATGTGTCTCCACTGCAAAAAAAAATGAAATCTCATCACCTCTGCCTTCCAACAGTGTGAGTGCTGCTATGCATGTGACAGGAAGGGTGACATTTTGTCACCAGTGCTGCTTTTCTCAACCTCCTCAAAAAACATCCAAACTTTCTCTAGAGAGGTTTGTAGCACACATCTTCTAAAATTTTGGAAATATTGCCACAATAGAGACAAACCTGGTCTTCCCTTAAGTCCCTCAAGAGAACATTAAAATGTTAGATGTCCAACTAATGTTAGTGGGTGGGACTGGTCCTTCTGTCCCACAGAGTCTGGCAGGGACAGAAAGACCAGTCCCACTCACTTGTTCTTCCTGAAGTGATGCATGTGCTGTCTGCCTCAGCTGCTGTCAGCAGGGACAAGCCAAACAGGTTTCTGAGGAAAAACAGAATGTTGGATTTTCCAAAAGAAACTACTTTCCAAAGGAACTACTGTGGGAAACTGGGTTTGAGGTGTCCACGGAAGATAAGTCAGAGAAGGAAGCCAAAGAGTGGGAGAAGCACCAGAAGAAAGGACTTATTGAGTGTGGTGTTGCAGGAATCAGCTCCAGGTTTTGTAAGATTCCAAGGGGAGGAAAGAGACAGAGCAAATGATGCTTGGAAGGGAATACTGAACTCAATTTTAAAAGGAAGGCTGTTAGTTTATACAGTTAGCAGCCCTAGCAAAGTCCTTTGGACAATTATTTTTTATGTAGTTGTATGCATATATGTATGGAAGGGGCCATTTTCCTCTTCATAATGTGCATTCTCATCACATCCCATTCTTTATAGGCATCTTAGCAGCATCCACACTCTGAAGACATCTGCTGAAAATGATGTGGGTACCCAAATCAGTTTGGGCTAGCCTGGCATTTCTCCCAGTGTTCTGAATCAAAGATGAAATGTGTTGCTATCGTTTGCAAGATGTTCACAAAGCAACTTTGTACAAAAGGAGACTGCACAGAGTGCCACCATTTGAAATCTTTTTGCAGTGTTTTTCCATTAAAACAAAAACCTTGGCAGCTACCATCTACTCTTTTCTGATTTGCAGCCAGCCAATTACATCACTTAGAATGCACTCAATTAACAAGGATGCAAGGTCAAGGCACTGCCTTTGTGTAGTTCTGGTTGTGCCTCAGGAAAAACTTACTTTTGTTTTCCCTTCTGTGTGTTTATTTCCTCCACTGTTTTTGTTAATCCCTCCTACATGCAATAGCTCCCTTGCAAACATTATTTCAGCAGCGACCTCAGAGTGTTCCGAGTGCCTTCTAAAAGCCAGATATTAAAAGAATTCAGTTGCCTCAATCTCTTGGTGTGGCCTCCAGTCACCAGAATAGCTCTGATGGTTTGAGTGGGAAGATCCCCAAGAGTGAAAATTGCTCCAGTGAATCTGGGCCTGACAAACCCTGTTCTGTTTTTGTGGATTACCAGATGGAAGAGCCCCTGTAAGGTCTGCAATCAGAAGGGCAGACATGCTGGCTGCAGAGGGGACGGGAACAATGGGATGGCCTTCAGCATGGCCTGGCCTTCCAAGCACATCCAAATGACCTTGCTGAGCATTTGTGATGCACTGAGCCCACAGCAGCAGCCTGGCTTTGTTCTCAAATCATAACTGCTCTGTCTGCTGGGGTGTGTCACCCTCTAAAGCTCAGTGGAGGCTCACTGGGATTTAGGTGGCTCTGCCCAAAATATACACAGAAACACACGAGCATCTCGTGAGCTGTTTTAGAATTGATGCCTGACAGAGTTAGTCACAATGTTTACAGAAACTCGGCTGTGTTCAAGATTGTGATGCAAATATCACAGTTTCAGGGTGGCTCTAGATGAAAGGCTTTTCCCACTGTAATGTTTTTTCTCCTGGTGAAGACATAATAGTGATAAATTTCTTATGGCACAGACATTTTTTTACTTAACAAAGTGAGTGCCACAAAGCACAATTTTGGAGTTTCATTTTCCTGTAGTTTCAGTAAAAGCAAGATCATAGATTGTGAAGAACAAAGCACAGATACATGTAGTGACTGCTAACAAAATTTGGGGAAGCAATGAAAGTTTCAATTTAGTATTATTCAATATGATTTATAGAATCAAGGGGTTTAAGATTTTGCATTGAGTCCTACAGATAAATTAATACAGGTCTTCAGGTTTGCTCTTTATGCATCTGTTTTACAAATTTTTTCTCTCAAAATGCTTGTAAATATGTGCTTTCCTGTTCTACTGTCTTGCCTGACACATCTGACATCCATGTCACATGAGATTTTAACTTTGCAGCAGGAATTCCACTTTTAACTTCGCCTGAGTATGCTCAAGACTTTCTGATTTAAACCTAATTTTCTTGCCTCTAAATAAGATTTAAGTATTAAACAATCTTAATCAAAACTGTATTTTCCACAGGGGGTCCCTGGCCAACTTTTTCTTTATGCCTGTTCAGATTGTATCACAGTGGCCCCAGGCCCTGTCTGGTGACTGCCATAGGAAAATATGATCACAGTAATAAATTTCAGCTCTGCATTCAATCCCCCATGAAACCTTTCATTAGCCCCTCTCCCTGCTGCAGCACTGCAATGGGAATGCCAGAATGAGAGCTGCCAGGAGGAGCAGAAACTCAAGTCTTGGCAAAAGCCACAGAAGTGCTTGACAGTGGATGGTGCTTGGGGTGAGGGCATAGGTTGTAGGGGGATACAGGATGGGTAAATGAAGGGGCTATAGAATGTAATATCATATCATATCAATCATATCATATCATATCATATCATATCATATCATATATCATATCATATCATTAATATAACATAAAACTCTTATCCCCTAAATAGTTGCAGCTGAGCCAATAATTAAGGATTAGGAGCAGGCCTGATGTTAACAGGCCACACCTGTAGCCAATAAGCAGAGTGTTATAAAAGAGTGGATTGGTGGGAACTGGAGTCAGTTGGCTGCTGTGAGGACAAGGAAGAGTCAGTGCCAGAGGAGCTGCCTATGAGAAACATTGAGGAGGTGCGAAACTCTGGCAATACGGAATCCTTGCACTATAATGACAACAGAACTCTTGATATATAAGACAACCATAGGTGGTTGGCAGTGGTGCTGCCTCCTCTAAAACTCCTTTGCAGTTTGGAGTAACTGCAAAGCAAAAGTGGGGTTTGCTTTGCTGTTACCCCAGCCAGAGGCCACAGACACACTGCCTGACCCTCATGGTCTTCTCCCCCTGTGTCCCACAGCAGTAAGTACAATATTCACTGACTCCACGCTGTCACAGGATGGGTAAGGCTGGAAGGGAACACTGCCCAACTTCCCTGCTCACATAGGATTATCCTAGAGCTCATTGCACAGGATTGGGACCAATGGTTCTTGAATATTTCCAGTGAAAGAGATTCCACATCCTTTCTGGACAACCTGTTCCAGTGTTTGGTCACTGCATAGTGAAGAGTTTTTCCTCATGTTCTGGTGGAACTTCGGGGCATCAGTTCCTGCCCACTGCCTGGCACCACTGAGCAGAGCCTGGCTCCATCCTCCTGACACCCTGCCTTCAGATTCTGGTAAAATTCTGCCTCTTTTTGTGCTGTTCATCCTCTTCAGCTATGTGCCTTAGGAAATAGCAGTGTGAGTTTGAAAATGTTGGTTTCCATGAAAGATGTTAACACTGTTAAAAACACCATTGAGCTTTCAGATAAAAAGTGAAAGCTGCATGAAAAGCATATCCTGAAAACAATTCAGGTGCTGGTTTCTTTCTTTGTTCATGACACCTTTTTGTCTTCAGTAGCAAGAACACTTTGCAGTGTGAAGTTTTCCTTTGTTTGTGGCTGTCTTTTGCACCATTTTTCTTTCATGTTGCCATTCCCAAGCAGAACAAATCTGTTTGCAAGTAAAGGGGGGAAATAGACTGGATGGTTTTGGTTTTAAGCTAAATGTTTTCAGAAGTCCAAGTATCACAAAAAGTGCAATTTTAGGATCAAATCTGACTTGATTAAGGTTCATTAAAAGGTTCAATCAATTGATTTAGTGTGTCTTCTTCTACACTTGCTTTAGAAGTATTTTCTCAACAGATGGACATGACACTTTTCCATTTTATCTAATGTTTCTTATGAAAACTGTAGTAGCGTGATCAATTGTCACTAGAAATAACTTTGAATTTTCTCATTACTGCAAGACATTAAGATGTCAGGATATGATTTACTACAGCAAGTGACTTTTATGTCATCTATTTTTCAGAAATCCTGTGACTAGTTTAAATTTCCATTTCCCTGGCATTGTATCTATGTGTGTAGTGAAACAAAGGAAGTCTTGACTAACACACTGAAAGCATTAAGCATTTGAAGCTGCCCTGCTAGACAAATACAACAGCAGCACAGTGTACCACATGAAACTGAATCAACCACCTGGAAGAGAAGGAGAGAGGAGCACAGTCTTTGAAACCATTTTGTCAGCAAAATAGTCTTCTTTAGTCTGACTGAAAAGATAAGGAATGACATGAAAGTGGAGAAATTAGAATATGCAGACATTTTTAAAATTTGAAAATATGCCATGCATTTCTTCTGGTCTTTTGCATCTGGTATAACTTTTGTTGACTTCCTGGCAACAGGGATTTTCCCTTATACAGCTTGATTAATAGAAGAGCAGTGAATGGCCATGAAAGAGTCAAACCATACCCATGGCTTAGCACACACCGTACATCCATTCCTCTGGAGTGCTGCACTGCAGATTTCTCATGCTGCTGTTTGCTGGAGGAGGCCTCTGAAAGATGAGGCTGGTGGTAACTGGTGTGTCTAAAACATCAGGTACATGATATTTAGCTGAGTTCACACAGGTAAAATCCAGAGATGTGGCAGGAGTCAGGTGGGATTGGTGTTGTTCATATCCACAAATTTATTTGAGGAGAACAGGTTTAAATAAGAGAGTCGTTTCTTGTTGTAAACTCAGACCTCAATATCTCCAAAATCTCTTGCTGATTTGCAAACCAAGTACACTCTGTTGCTTGGCGGTCTGCTATGTTCCAATGGGCGCCTTCCTCAGCATCCCAGCCATGGAGCAGTTGTGCTTGGCTGCCTCAAGAGGCATCCCTCCTGTCTGGGCACATATGGAGAGCTGCTCTGCCAGTGGCACTGCTGCCATCCCTCCTGGAAGGGGACTCAGCCTTTTCAGTCACTGGGCAGGACAGAGGTGGCTGTGGCAGGAACAGAGAGAACAGTGCTGTTCCTGGCACCCAAATTATTTTATCAGGAGGGGTTCATTTAAGAAATAGGCAGGGGCACTGGTGTGTGGTGGGATGTTGCACTGGTGTGAAACCAATAAACAGAATTTCTGTTCAGGGTGACTTTCAGAAAGAGGAGCTCAAGTGCTGTGTTTTTTTCTGTGACTATTTTAGCAATTAGCTCAGCAGTAAATTTTCATTGCTACCTCTGTGACTTGCATGTCTGCTTTATTTTACCAGCCAAAGAATTTAAGTCTAAAACCACAGGCAGGACCTTCAGAACCTGAGCAAAGCATTATTTAAAACCATTTAACAGTTTCCCAGTTGAAAAATAGACTAAATAGCATTTAGGATTAACGGGAAGCCAGCTTTGTCACCAAAATATAAAGCAACTATATTAGCACAGAAACCTCCTGGAACACAGAATGTTGTTAATTGGGTTGCAGGCGTACCTCAGTGACAAATGGACTGCTCTGGATGCTGCTTGCATAGCAAGTTTCCCCTGTAGCTGCTGGAGAAAATGGCTTTCTGTCTTTAGTTTCTGTTTTGGTGAGGCTGCACAACCATATGTGCAAATAGACACGTAAACCAAGGTGGAAATAGCAACTGAATGGTGAAAGATACACCACAGTGCAGCTCATCCAGGAGAAAGGCTGGGTCAGATCTTTTCTCTCTGACAAACAGGCAGCATTAGAGTTTGGAGAAAATTAATGTTTCCTTCTGAAACAAAAGTGGACATGAAGGGCACTTTCAGGTTTCTTCTGTCCATCGGATTCTCACCCAGGAATGGTGACTGCAGGGTTTGTCATGGAGCAACACCAACTGCAGAGCATGGAGAAAGAACATTTGTGGCCTTCTTGGGGCTGCACAAATTGGCCTGCCAAAAGAGCACCTCGGATTGTGAATGCCTTAACATTTTTCACTTGCTTTTTATTTTCTGCCTGACACTTAACTTTTTCACATAAATACCACATAGAAAATGAAAGCTCTCGCTTTACATAATTTTAGTCTTAATATGGCCCTGAACAATTATTTTGCAATGTATATTTCAAAGTACATTTTAAACAGTCTGAAATACTGTGATACTTTGATGACCCTCTAGATATATTTAGTTTGCCTGAAATATGGCCAAATGAACAACTGAGACATATTTGGGGGGAAAATCAGGTATTAAAAGAGAATTAGAGTGTTATCATAGTTAAATATGAAAGAGTCTCACAGAATATCAAAGCAGTGCCTGGATTTTATGTATTGTTCATGAGGAGTTTTGTGTGCTGTAAAAATGCAGGACAGTGAGTCTGTCACCTACAGAATTTAATGGGAAATGCAGCTCTTGGATAGGACATGGTTAATGCGCACATGAAATATCCCACAGAGGCTGGGTGAAAGTCTCTCCTTTCTAGAACCAGTGAGGAATTAGGACTATGTTGTGAGCACTGGTGTGGGTGCTCTTTTTGTATGGTCTCTGGCTGATAAGGATGCTCAGGATGCTGTTCAGCATCCTTTATCTGAGAGGATTTGAGCTGAAACCTCCCAGGGGAGTGCCCTAATTAGCAATCTGAGGGCTGGGCTGGGGCTTCACACTCATTTCCTTTTGTTGGAGCTGCTCTGACGTCTGCCAGGTTTTATGTTTGCAGAATTTATGTTTAAGCACCTGTACGTGTCCTGACCATCAGGCCAGATGGTTCAAGGTGTGCTGTGAGACTGCTGCCTCATATCAAGCTATGGAGGGGATTGTCCTGCTGGAAAGTTTGGGTTGCATGGCTGTGCAGTGTTATAAAGGATAAAAATCAGGCATCTTAGATAACTTTAGATGCCCAAATCTCTTTCAATTCCCTGTGGGATATATTCTTGAGGTTTTCCCAAGAAAGACCTTGTTTTTTTCTGCTAAATAAGAAAATTATGCAGAAAAACATTACCTACAAGCTTATTATAAAATCCTGACTGTGCAGTACAGATGCAGGTGCTTGCAATTCATCATCTAACTTTGCTGAAAGTCTGTTGGTGGATGGCTTTAGTAGACACATTTCTGCCAGTAGATGTAGTACTGCTTGAATTTATATGCAATATATAAAAATACCTGTGTACCTGCATGAAGCACACAGGGTCTGCGTCTGTTGTGCTTTGTTTGGAGGTTTTTTGGTTGCTTTTTTGGTCTGGATGTTTTTTTTTTTAATCTAAAAACTAGCATATAATGGCGCATTTTTGTCCACTTACAAAATGAAGCTTAATTTTGTGATCTACATGGAGAACCTGATTGGCATCAGTGAGATTTCTTGCTAGTGAAGCCTGACTCTGTTTAATTTCATGTTCCCTCACTGTTATCCTTATACATGATAAATGTTGTGTTTATTCTAGTTGAGGTGAGCAAAGCCTTCCTATTAGCCTTATGCTAAAGTGCTTTTTTGATTAAAACAGACTAATCAGATGACAAAAAATTTATTTCATTGATAGGTGAAAAAAACGTTTTCTCCTGATACATCACACCTTGGTGGCTGGTTTTGAAATTTGAAAAAAAGAAAATTCATTAACTATTAGATAATGTTAGCTCCAATTTGTTAAGATTTTTAAAGAACTTTGCTGCTGAATGATAGCAACTTAAATGAGACACAATAATTCCTACATTTGCCTCTGTGAGTTAGATGATTTGCAAAAACTCCCATGCTATGCTTCAAAATGGTTTCTCTCTGCATGTGCTGAGCCAAGAGGCTCTGTTGCTCAGTCAGCTGAAAATAAGGTGGAGAAACCATTCTTTTTCTTACAGTAAATCTGATCCTCTGACTGTAGTAGTAGTTTCTACAAATGATGACCTAAATCCTTGTTTTGATTTGGACATTTTGTAGGAAAAGGAAGTGTCTGTGGATGTGAAATTGGGCATATTTTTCTGTTAAGAAATATGTTAGTTAGTTACTTATGCTATATGTTAGTTCCTCTTGCAGCCCTTGCTCATTTAGCACAGCTACAAGGCAAAGTTAAATTGAGATGATGACAAATAACTTACATGAGCAAGCTTCCTTTTTTCTTTTAGTGAAATTCACAGTGTGCAGACAGATGCAAACTGGAGATTCAGAGGATAAAGGACTTCATCTTGACCAGAAAAGAATGATTTGGTGATGGAGCTAGGAAATATTCTTATTGTTCATGGCCTTTCACTACCACATTTAATTAAAAAAAAAAAAAAAAAGAAATTGCCAATTATCTTTGGATGAAGCATTCTCAGTATAGATTACGATTTACTCAGAAATCAACCCCAAACTTAATTTCAGTGATTAATCCTTTATGGATTTGCTTTTGTTATTCAATGCAACTGGCTAATGATTAATACCACCTGGGAGAAGGAGATTATGCAACACCAGAGTGGCATGGTGTCCATGTACTGGGTCTGGGTTAATTCACCATGCAGCTGTCCAGAAAAAAGCCAATCCAGCAAAAAGCCATATGGAAGGGAGGAGGGGAATAATGGCAATTGTTTTGACAAGAAATGAAGTAAACATTTTAAAATCTATATAGGTTTCTGCTGGGTAGGCAAGTACTGCATGTCATCAGTGGTTTCTTGGTATGGAGGAGCATTTGCACTCTTCAAATACCTGCAGCATTTGTTCTTACACTGACTGTGTAACAGGCATCTTACCCCACAACTTTCCTACAAAATAAAACCACAGTTCAGCCACAACTTCTACAGTGGCCAACGTACAATAGGCAATAAGCATTGTACAGCATTTCTATTGTGAGAAAAACCACTTATTGTCACACAGCCTTAGTTTTAAAATCTCAGAACAGATGGCCATACTTCGAAATCATGAGTATTCTCCACAGACAAAGGGCTTTTGTCCAAATGGATCTGAGTGCCTATATATATGGAAATACAAACTTGTGCAATATTGCACAACAGGGTCTGCTGGTACACAGAGAGTGTAAGAACAGAGTGCAGTCTAGGTGACAGTGTATGTGCCCTCAAGACTATGCAAAGCTTATGTCTGTTCCAATATAAAGTCCCTTCATCCAGGGAAAAGTCCTATTGTGATCTCAAAATTAGAGAAGAAGTCTTGCGAAGGAATTTTCTCCTCTCAAAACCAATTCAATTATGCCAGGATTTGACTTACAAAATTAAGTCTATAGCAATTATGAAGAATAAAAGGCAATCTTGAGATTATAAATATGAAGGTTTTATGCAAAAATGAATACCATTGTTTTTCACATTCATATATTCTAGACGTCAGTCCCTTGAGTGGAAATGATATAAAGCCCTTAGGTGGGTTTTTTTTGTTATCACGTTTTCATTTTGATCAAAGGAGTCATTATTCACC